GTGTGTGTGTGTGTGTGTGTGTGTGTGTGTGTGTGTGTGTGTGTGTGTGTGTGTGTGTGTGTGTGCGCGCGCGCGCGCGCATTGTGTGTTTTATATATATATCAAGAAAGCAATTGTTACACAATATTAAATATAATATAGAAAGTATAAAATCTTTATATTTTGTGAATATATATCATCATCTTTTAATTAAAGAGTAAAAAAATATAAAACGAGCTTTTCGTTATGCTCTTCTGTTTCTATTAAACATATTTATAGGTCTAGTTATTATTCATGAATTAGATTGGATTGTGTTTTCCATTTTCTTCTTTTAAATATTCATTGCTCTATCACTCATACAAATGTGTATACAGATGTAAATCTATGATAAATGATGATAAATGTACACGAGTGTTCGCAATATATTGATTGAACTTGGGTCTTCGGATCTTTGGGTAGATTCGCTAAGTCCAAGTATGCGAATCAGTCATTCCTGCGAAATAATTATTACGCAATGAATTAATTTAAATGTAAATTTTGCAGTAATTCCTGACGCCATCTGTCTCATACTTCAAGACTCGAGTACTAGATTTAATATGATAATATTTGAGGTGAAATAGAATCATGAATTACACGACGGCGCGATGGTATAACGCGATGGATTCTGCGCGAGGTTTACAGAACCGTTGACGGACGGGATCAACGTTTCCCACCCCCTCGCTCGACATCGTTACGGTAATCTTCGGACGAGCGGTTTGCCGGAAATTAAATAAGAGAGCAAGTCTAGACGTGCCGTCTTTCGACGGGTTACCGCGCGATTATTTCGACGCGGAAAGTTCGAGGCGTACGTCTTTTCCGAGAATCGTCACGGCGACGGTAAGATCGATAAGCGGTACTTGCGTGACTCGACGCAAACCTATAACTTCGTTATCACCTGGCGGCGAGATAAGAGTATCTTTGCTTTTTTACTTTCTTTTTTTTTATTTTCGAGGTCGCTTAAAGGAATATTCCTCGCGACACGTTTGTCGTCAAGCGCGATCCCGAACCAATGTAAGATCGTTAATCGAATCGGTAATACATCGGATGATAATTATTTCCTCAATTTCGCAAACGACAGATAATCACAGTCTCCCTAATAGCTTTACGAGATAAGAAAATCGTCATCAATTGTGAATTTATTAGTCAAATGAGCAATCGGTGCGATCGCCTTAGGATAACGAAATAGACTTTCGTTGACATTTCATCAACATATAGTTTTACCACCAATGGATGCGAATGAAATCGCTATCGAAATCAGCAATCGGAAATATCGTCTGAAGCAAGAGTCACGCCTTTTACCGTAGTTTAAGAACAGTTGTTGCTGGAAAAAGATTTCTATCTATCATTATCTATCGAGATATTCTTGTTGCAACATTGCCATGTGCTGTAATATTCATAACATGATGTCATTCCGGGTGATAATTTGCGATGTCTATAAATAGCGTCAACAAGGGGTCAAACTTCAAAGTCTCTTTGCCTCTCTCTCGCCACGATTTTCAACGCGAAACCGGCTTTCTCCCACGATAAACTCAGCCTACCTATGATATAAAGTCTAATCAATCAAGCGAGCATAAAGCATAAACCAGCCGAGCCGTTAGTCAGTCCCGTTCTCGCAGGCGTCGATGATAGATCGAACACAATGTCGTCGGAAATACTAACCGGTATTCTGGGCAAGCGTTACAAGCTCCAGACGAGCGAAAAGTTTGACGAATACATGAAAGCCTTAGGTGAGACGACACGCGTGCCTTGACTGACATTTGTAATTAAAAAAAAAAAAATTAAATTTATAATCACAACACCATCCGATATTCATATGAAATTTGTCGTTCAACTGTTTTTCACACGAGGATTCTTATGATCAGAAATTGATCTTTTTTTTGTAAAATTTTTAGGCGTGACCGACACTCTTCGGATTAGATCGGTAGGAAAATAGTGCTTCCCGAGAGATAAGCTTCTTCCGAGTGCTGACGGATAATGAAAGTTTCAATTTCCGTTTATTTCGAGTTCGATTTCAATAGATATGCGCTATAAAAAATTATCCTAATCTTGAGCTTGATGCCGCAATATATTTCTTACTAATTACGTGATTTTGTCACATAATTGTTGAAGAAATATTATTGTCTCGGATTTCTCAATTTAAGCAATAGTTTGAAGCGTATGAAAAAATTTCTCCTCTGTGCATTTTCTTTAAAATTTAGATAATTATCGCGAGGTATTGGCATTTTTATGAAAACAATTAGTGAACATGAGGAAATCATTGGGCTCATTAGAATTTCATAGAGAATTGATAAAATCATAAATGTGTTTTGAATTAGCTTACGCTTTTCTTCAGGCGTGGGTATGGTGACACGGAAAATGGGCAGCAGTGTCAGTCCCGTCGTCGAATTAACGGAGAAGGATGGAACGTACACTCTGAAAACAACCAGTCCATTCAAAAACACCGAAATAAAATTCAAGCTCGGCGAGGAGTTCGACGAGGAAACCGCGGACGGCAGGAAAGTGAAAAGCGTCTGTACTCTGGAGGGTAACAAACTCGTCCAGGTGCAAAAGGGAGAGAAGGACACTACGATCGAAAGAGAATTTTCGCCCACAGAGATGAAAGCGGTAAGCAGATTTTCAAGAGATTTTCAAGAGATTGGTCATACATTCGCACGCGTATTGAACGCAATGATTAAACCGATTATAAAATGTGTATAACTCATAAATATCGTTAACATTTATGTTTTTTGAAGCAAAGCAAATTTTACAGCGATTTAGGTAATTTTTAATGACTTTGTCATTTGTAACGCGTCGATATTTAAATTCTAATCTTGGTTTTGCATCAATATTTTACCCGTAAATCGATAACAAGCCACGTAGTTGTAAGAACATTAATTATTTAAAGTTAGTAGTAGAAGTTAGGAACAAGGTAACATCGACCTTTACTCGGGTAAACATTGGAGAATCGCAAGAAATAATCTCTGTCTCTATGTGTGTCTCATGATAAATTCGCGGAGATCGCTTATAGACTGGCAAACTTGCGGCTATGTTTTTTGAAGACTTGAAATATTACGACATTAATATATACGATGGAGAATTTACTTTGGACATATATTATATTTTAATAATTCGCTACACGCGAATCTAAAAATTAATAAAACTAAAATTATTCTAAAGAAAATTATCTATTGAATCATATTTCTTTTTTAAAACGAGAATTGTTATTAATTATTTCATTATTATCATTTGTATACATCTTTCTATAAAAAAAAAAAAATATTTAAAATATCTAGCATGTAAACTTGGACGGTACATAAAAGAACGAGTTTTATTATTACAAGAATAGTTAAGACATAGTTAATTGTGCGGGAAAATGCACTTGCCGTGCGCATCCTTCCTCTCTAAACATTTGAACTTTGATTCGTGTCGCTTGACGCAGTCGCAGGAGTTGCCGATTAAAGTACAAAAGCTACGTGGAGGAGTGCCGCAACGAGGGATCGTTGCACGAGCGGCTAATGTTATAATGATTCGTCAAATGTCCGGCCAATTATCGCGTGCGCTCCTCCTGTTCGTGACACGTACAATTCTACAGCACCGAGCTCCGAAACGGTGCCAATAAAGACCCATTGATCCGTCTGGCGATACGCGTTAATGCCGTGAGACACCGGCGCGGGAATAATTCCCGCACTCTTTCTCTCTTGTACTCTTATAGAAACTGCTATTAATAATTTCGAGGGATTACCGATTAAGTCGAATACGGCTACAACTATCAAATATTATAGACGTTATGCTACTTCTGTTACAGATCATGAAGGTCGATGACATAGTCTGCACGAGGGTATACAAGCTTCAGGAATAGAAGTTCAGTTACCAAAACTGAAGGCGTGCACAATCCCATGCAGGTGCTTCTAAAAGTATCGAAGATAAGAATATATAAATTATTGTCTGAAATCTGGTTTAAGAGAGCAAATAAGATAGTACACGTTGACATAGAATACCGGATTGTATAAGCTGAATGTAATTCTTGTTGAAAGTATTTAACTTTAAAAACTTACAAAAAATACAATTTCCTATAAAGTTAAAATTTACATATTTACGAATTCATGCGTTCGCAAAAAATGTATATTAAATAATAGTCGAAGCATAAATTAGCTATCTGCGTTGTGCACATTTTCTATTTATGTATCGCGTGTTACGTAACAAAATGTGTAATACCGTCAATGAATTATGTTTCATGTACAGCAGTTGCTGTTATCCTATGAATGTTTGCTTTTTTTCTACAAATAATAATGACTAATGGAAATATACATGTGTTTTCATTTCGAGCTCTCTGATTAGTGATCTCTTTTAATCACATTCTGAATGTATATGATAACGAAATGATATAATTTCATAGTTTCGTTTATTTAAAAAATAAAATAATGAAAAAATGAAAATAAATCATCGTTGAAAATATACAAAACATTTAAGTATTTATTAAAGAAAGCTGTATACATAGATGGACATCTGGCCTATTTCTGATTTGATGCAATGTGTCCATACTATTATTGCTCATCACTCTATTTAATCGAACATATCGATTAATGGAGAAATCTGTAAATGAAATAAATAAAATTTTTATGGTGTATCACACAGATATTGTATCAAAGTATTGTAAAGTGTAACTGTAAGGATTGAAACAAAATGCATGCTATAAAAACTAATATTAAAAATTAATAATCTAATTGTTTGTGTAATTTTTCGTTATGAAAAGCCTTACATAATATTCCACATAACAGACGTGTCCACTTTCGGTTTTAATCATATATTGAAAGCACAATAAGCCAGTGTTATTGGTTCTTAGGGAAACTTTATCAGCGCACAATAAAGCTTTCATCGCCTGTTTAATGTGTGTTAATTTAAAATTAGATGTTACCGTTGATGTACATTGGAAAGTATCTATTAAATCACTATCATGGGGAAAACCGATGTGGCAAATGCCACCTAGACCCTCCGTGCTAATTCTGAAGAAGGGTTCTTCCGGCGATAAACATAACTAGAATAGTAAGCATTTCAATTAAACATTTGTCACATACTTCTAGACATTTTAAAGCTTGATTGAAATGATTATTTGTCTATACCTCGACTAATTCGCTAGTTGAATCTAACTCGGTCATGGCATCCTTCAATAATTCTGTTTGCAATACTATTTTATTTACAACGTCTCCTGTATCAAGATGAAAGTCTAATATTGTATCTACTTCTAAAGTTTGTAATGAGCAATCTGTTATAACACCATCTTCTACAATGATAATACTTAAAGGATACCCTATGCCCTATAATAGATGATAATGTCAATATCATTTTAATGTTACAAAATGGCAAGTGTTTTTTAAATATTTTCTTTATTTTAGCATAATTCAGAAAACTAGAACTTGAAGAGCTTTAAATTTTTTGTTTTTGACTCTAGATCTACTTCTTAAAATACATAATAAAGTTATTCTGATTTTACTTAAATATCAAGTTTACTTTGTAAAATATTTGTACTGCGATGGAATTTTCTTCTGAGGTAGATCGGAACATACTAAGACACTCCACCAATATGCTTAAACTCAATGAGAACATCACGTCTTCTTTTAACTTAAATTCATCGAAAATTGTACGTGGAATATACGCACTGGCCTGTATACACTTTGCATCTTCGACTGTTACTTTCAATCCGTTTTCATTGCCAAAGCAAATAGCTATCTAAATAATCATATAAACATTTCGCATAACTACAGAGGAAATGCACGAACATAAATGCATCCTAAATACCTCTTTAAAATTGACAGTTTTTAATAATTCTATTGCAATCCTTAAATTTGTCAATCCCATTTTTGCAACCAAAATGTAGTCATTTGTATTCGAGTTCATTGTGTTTATATGAAACCTGATATAACAATAAATTATCAAACTGCTTCTGCACTAATTGTTGATGCAACAATTTTTCGTTGTCAATGCTGGCTAGCCAAGCTGCCAAAACATGCTTGCAAGTGAAAGCGGATCGATTTGTCAGTACTTGATGTCTGCAATGTTGCAAAAGCCATAGAAGAATTTTATATATTTTTCATAAACATTTTTTATAAAATATACAAAAAATATTTTTTTCTTATTCAGATGTAAAGTTTTGAAAATTACATTATCTTTTTAGTAAATAATTTATTCATATGTTATACCTAAAAGCAGCACAGCTGCAATAATTTACTTCTGGAAAAAGTGTATATAATGCTCCAGAGTGGCCCTTAATTTGCATCAACCAGTTAACTTCATTAATATGTTGATATGGTTCAATTATAATTTTATCACATGTAGAAATTTGCGTCACTCGTTTTTGTTCATACAAATCTAAGGCTCTTTCAAATACTCCACCAAATAGTTTATATAATTTCAGTAGATTCTGATCAGAGACTGAAAATATTTTATAATTTTATCATAATTGCTAATCAATTTTGAATATTTATGTAGCCAATGATGACTTATCAATATAATATATTATCAATATAAGTCTATCAAATCTTTTCTTTTTTGTAAAAAAAAAAAAATCAGAAAAAGATAATGAGTAAATTAAATAAGATAGATTAAGTAAAATTAAAGTTAATATAATATATAATATATAATAACAAAGAAGATGTAGACATTTATTTTTCAAAAAGAGAAACTTAAAGAAATTTAAATAAATTAACAATATTAAACATTTAATAAGAATTAAATGTAATTTTTATAACGAGAAAATAAGAAAAATTCTCGATTCATGTGCTTTCATTTAATCTTGGTCGCTTTTTGTATCATTTTTTCTTTCACGTTTTTTATCCATGTTTAAAAATGTAGAATGCTTAAAACTAAACATACATTTTGTCCAGACTGAAAAAAATAGAAGGAAAATACAACTCTGCTAATATTAATATTAAATGATTAATAAACCTACATTTTTTCTCCTTTTTAAACTCGTCGGCTACTTCCTTCAGTACATTATCTACGAAATCCACATACTTTTGATCGTACACCGTGGGTGGACGAGAATCGGTGTCCGCTGCTCGTTGATCTGAATTCATTAGAACAAATAGAGAGATTTATTTCTCGAATCGAAACGCTATTATCAAATCCCACGTATTTTCAGGTTTAGATCATAATTAGAACCTCATAAACTCATCCCTATTGCATGGTAAATAATGGTAGATGCGTGAAGAAGGAGGGAGAGAGTATTGCCGGCAAGATTACCAACTTAGAATATCTAAAGGCCATATCAGACTATAGAGGTTGCCCGGCTAATATTACCAATCACATTTGACCGTAACTAGAACCTGCTACATTGTGATTGGCTAGAATCGTCAACCGGCAACCGCTAGTCTGATATGGCTTTTAAATCCATTGTACATGAAAATCGTGGATGTAGCACGAATAAGAACCACGCAATCTGGATCACATTATCTACAGGATCATGGACACTGACTACTAACTGACTAATTCATTCGTTTTTATGGACATAGAGGCGCTTCAAAATAAGGTTACAGCTAAATCGCGGGCATGTCCGCTCTCAGCTTTCTCTCTGACTGTGCTCCTTGGCTTTTTAGCGCCGACTGCGACACCTAACAACATAAAATTCTCAACACAATGACAGACTGTCTTACGAAAGCGAGAGTAGAGTAACTAGTAACGGATTTCGCTGTTGGAATTACGCGCGGCTTTCTTAAATCGAAAAATGAAATCCAAAATAGATTTGTTGACTGAGCCTGCATGGAAACAACTGCAAGAATATTTCGACAGCAATGGCTTGAAGATTAATATTTACAATATGTTTCAGCAAGATCCTAAACGTTTCGAAAAATTTAGGTTCGTTTTTACTTTAAATGACCTTGGAGTTTCCTTGAATGACCTTTTAAAGATTATTCATTTTAAAATGAAAGAAAAAAACTTTTTTAAAATACTTTGTGAATGTTTTTTATTATTAACAATATTTTATAATAAATATTTCTTAGTTTTCCGTTTTATATATATATTAAAGAATAATGCATGCTTTAAAGTGATTATTACAAGTGTAAATAAAAATGATTTTTCGCAAAAAGAATATATAAAAAATTAAAAAATATTGTCATTATGAATAAAAAAGATATGTCATAAAAAATTATATTTAAATAATAATATTAAACAGTTTAGAACTGCCAACTCTACAAGATGGGCCAATTTTATTGGATTATTCCAAGAATAAAATTAATGAAGAAGTACTTGGATTATTATTTAACTTGGTATATAATATTAATCAATATAAAATTATTTAAATATAATTTTTATTATTTATAATTTTATATATCGTTCTATAGGCTCGTGCACGAGATATAGAAGCTGCAAGGAATGCGATGTTTACTGGTGAAAAAATCAATTTCACAGAGAATAGAGCAGTTTTGCATATTGCTTTGCGTAATAGAAGCAATACACCAATATTAGTAGATGGAAAGGATGTGATGCCTGATGTTAATTCAGTGTTAGAACACATGAAAAGTTTTACAAATGAAGTAAGCTTATTTGTTTACATATATGTATATAAATATATATGTATTGTCACAATACATATATTAAATATTCACAGGTATTGACAAAGCAATGGAAGGGATTTACTGGTAAACCTATTGAAGATGTTGTTAATATTGGAATTGGTGGTTCTGACTTGGTAATTTGTATAAAGTAGAAAGAATTTTTTTGCTCTGATTATTAAATATTTAAGATTTAATATTTATTTGTATTTTAAGGGTCCACTTATGGTAACTGAAGCTTTAAAAGCATATAGTATTGGACCTAGAGTTCATTTTGTTAGCAATATAGATGGTACTCATATCGCTGAAACTCTGAAGAAATTAAATCCAGAAACAACTCTGTTCATAATAGCTTCCAAGACATTTACAACACAGGAAACTATAACAAATGCAACTACTGCCAAGCAGTGGCTTTTAAAAACATTGAAAGATGTAAGGATATGAATTAAAATTTAATTTGATTGTTATATTTAAGTATCATTCTTTGTATATTTCCTTTCTGCTATATTGATGCTGTGAAAAATTGTTTAGGAAGCTGCAGTGGCTAATCATTTTGTAGCATTATCTACTAATGAACAGAAAGTCAAAGAATTCGGCATTAATGTGAAAAATATGTTTGGCTTCTGGGACTGGGTTGGTGGACGTTATTCATTGTGGTCAGCTATTGGTTTATCAATTTGTTTGTCAATTGGTTTTGATAATTTTGAAAAGCTTTTAAGTGGCGCTCACTTTATGGATCAACATTTTTGTACAGCACCATTGGAACAGAATGTAAGTAAATTAAATATATATTGAATATAATATTGAGTAAATTTTTAAATTAATATCCATCAAACAATGATCTCAAAGATAGAATTATAAATTAAAACTATATATTGACAAAATTCTTTTTGTTTCAATTATGTTTTGTATGTAAATATAACTTACAGATGAAAAACGAAAAATCAAATATTCAATTCTTCAATCAGATCAATAATTCACTTAAATGTTTAATAATCTATATTGACTTTTTTAGGCTCCTGTCATATTAGCTTTACTTGGGATATGGTATCATAACTTTTATAAAGCTGAAACACACGCACTGTTACCATATGATCAATATCTACATAGATTCGCAGCTTACTTTCAACAAGGGGATATGGAAAGTAATGGAAAATATGTTACTCATTCTGGAAAAACTGTAAATTATTCTACTGGTATGTTCTACATAGGAATATATATTCTTTTACAGAATATATAGTCTTAATAAAAATTTATTATTTATATTTTTATATTTTTAGGACCAATTGTGTGGGGAGAACCAGGCACTAATGGACAGCATGCATTCTATCAATTATTACACCAAGGTACAAGACTTGTACCAGCAGATTTCATAATTCCTGTGCAGTCTCAAAATCAAGTGAGTAATCTTTTATAATAATGCGTTTAAACAATCTATTAGAATTTTATACATTTGTGTATATTTATTTATCATAGATTGCGCCACATCATACAATTTTACTTGCTAACTTCTTTGCGCAAACTGAAGCTTTAATGAAAGGCAAAACTGAAAGTGAGGCTCGAGTTGAATTGGAAAAATCAGGATTGAATACCGAACAAGTGAACGCATTATTACCACATAAATTGTTTGAAGGAAATAGACCAACAAACAGCATTGTCGTTAAAAAACTAACACCTTTCATTCTTGGTGCTTTGATTGGTAAATAGATTGTATGGTATATTGGTATGGTACATACATTAGTATATATCACTGAATGAAACATATAGCAAAATTTCTTTGATCTTTTGTCTTGATGGAGAAAGAAAAAATAAATATATAGATATCTCTATTATTTTCTTTTTGATTAAATTTTGTCTAACAAGAAGAAGAAAAGTAGCATATTTGTACAAATTGGAAATATTTTTAATGTGATACAATTTTTATATTTATAACGCTATATATAAATATCATTAAGTTAAAATTATTATATACATAATGAATAATTATGATTTCTACTTGTTTATTACACAAAACAAAGTTGAAAGCAGATATATTATCAGATGTCTCATAGTTCTAGTTTATGAATTGATTCCTATGATTCTTACAAATTCCTACATCTTATCTTTTTTTATATCTATCAAAATGTTTTGATTTACTATTCCGTCCAGTACTATATGTCGATGGGTAAATATTTTATACAATACTTTATTGGATGTATCTAATACTATAAAGTTGCTCGATAAATAGTTATAATATTTGATATATCTGATGATAACACATATATACACACACACACACACACACACACATTCATATATATACATTTATGAAGTGAGAGATAGTACAATATGAATTATTTTTTTGTAGAACAATATATACAATGTGAATGTTTTTTTATAAAGCAATAGAGAATAGCTAACGTACAAACAGATTGATACATATTGTTTTTTATTTTTTCATATGGAATTATTTTCATGTTGACTGTATTATTGGATATTAATTTATATATTAGAATATATATGTGTGTGTATATAGAAAATCTTTCTAATTTTCTATTTTTATTTGTTTAGCAATGTATGAACATAAAATCTTTGTACAAGGAATTATCTGGGATATCAATTCATATGATCAATGGGGGTAAGAAAAATTATATTTTTGCATGAAATATAAATTAATTTTTTGTCAATATATAGAAAATTCTTTATTTTTTTCTTTCGGAAAAAAATTAATAACATTTTTATATTCCACAGCGTGGAATTGGGAAAACAGCTAGCTAAAGCTATTGAACCAGAATTGACAAGTGTGGAAAACATCACAACACATGATTCATCAACTAATGGTTTGATTGCATTTGCCAAACGTTATAAAGCCTAAACTGTACTTTTAGCAATATTATAATGTTCAATATAAGCAAAGTTTATATAAATGGCTTGTTTCAAACTGTATTATTATGTTAAAGTATATATATTACATAGTTAATGAAAAGATTATAAAAATGATATAATCAAATATAATATATATAAATTATATTTTTAACATTCTTAATTCTTCATATTATTTGGATTATGGTATATAATCTAAGTTAAGAAAATTGATAAAAAACCTAATTTATTTTGATGTACGAAGAAAAAAATACTTAATGATTTTATGGCATGATTTAATATTATAATATTACAAGCAATCAGAGAAGTCATATTTATAAAAATATAACCAATTATATGTTATTTACTCAATAAATTAAAATATATTAAAATATATTTAATATAATCGTACTTTATATATGAAATAGAAAATATAAATATTAACCATAATAAAGATAATATAAAAAATAAATAAAAAATTGTAAAAGTAATGTAATATAATATGTATTATTCTTAATAGAACATTCAGTGGTTTTCTTAATATTTTCAGAATATTTCTTTATAGATATATATATATATATTTAATAAATGTTTTTGTTTTATGTACATAAGTGATATAAAGTATTACAAAGTGTTTTCTCTGAAATTATTAAAGATAGCGAAAAATTTCTTTTCTATATAATTATATTTAATATATATAGTTTTTAAGGTCCTTTAAATATCGGGCAGGATATCGCTACTAATTTTTTTAAAAAAGCACAAAAGAAATGATATCCTGTTTTCTTGTTGAAATCGAAAAGTGAAAAATTGTTAAAAAATTACTGAATAATATTTCAAAATCATAATTTCCCTTGTGAAATTTAATAAAATGTGAGATATAAGAAAGTTATACTATTATATATACTGTTGAAATATAATAACAAATTTTGAAATGATAGTTTGAAGTGGCTTCAATTGAGAAAGAGAATTGTGAGACAAAATATTTCTATCAGAATGACAATCAAACAACAAAAAAATCCATGATCATTAAACATTAGCAATTCTGATTGCTTGATCGAATGATAATACGGAAATACATTGCATTGTACATAAATTATAGTGTAACTACGACGTTAGAAACGTAAAAATTAAAATTTTATTCGATTCATCCTAACTTAACCTAATCTAATTTTCATTAATCAATATGAATATATTAAATTAATATAATATATTAAATTAATAATAATATTAAATTAAATTAGACTTCAATTTCATATTTTTGCTGTTTTATTTTTCTTCATAAAACAAGTTATACTAACTGGATCTTAATTGCCATCATTTGCAAATTTTAAGATATTCTCGTAGATATCACGTAGATGACATTTCGAAATCTTTTCTAGTCGAATGAACTCCTTTTTTTCTAGTTTTAAGTAGCCACGTGTAATAGTATCATTTGAAAGATATGGCAGGAAAACTTTCCGATTCGTTTCTTCGATGACGATCTCTTACGATCTTTTTCCATGTTCAAAGTGCAGGAGAATCGTTTCTATAAGACAAAATATAATTGAGTATAGATACATATCTGCACTGTAAATAAGGAGTAGATAATCATTTTAGATCAAGTCGGAGTTAGCTCGTTACTCCTGCCGATCCTTAACTGAGAAAAAGAATGGAACCGATAATCACATACTATAGTCGGCTTGAGGAGAAGATACTGCAAAACATCAATCGCAATGGTATACGGTATCGGTACGTCGTTGACACTGTCATCCTTTTCCTGGAGCAAACTAACCTCGCAATGTGATATTGAGGATTTTATCACGATTATATTTCATTGTAAAATTATAGCGAAACGTTCGTCATCAATCGATGTTACTTCAGCATCAATTATATTTTATGATTTGACAATGACAGTTGTTGATTATTTTACAATCAGCATTGTCAATGACAATTGAGGATGATTTAAGAGTAACTTGTATCAGCGACGATTTATACCCATTTCTACTAATATATATTAACTTTAATCTCTTTAAGTTTAAATTGCTTTTTACATTTTGTTAATTCTGAGAATTAAAAAAAGTAAAGAATAAATTAAACCGAGTTTAAAGTTTTATATTGGTAGATACTGATATTAATATTATTAATTCAACTTAATTTAGTCAGCAGAATTATTTATAGCAAGATTTCTAGCTAAAATTTATTGTTTCTAATCTAACTCTTCTTTCCATATATTGAATAATGGAACATTAGAATTTTATTTATGTTAACAAGCTAATAAAGCTAGTATTGTTTGAGCTAGTATTGTTTGTTTAAGTTAATCGAAATTTGGTCAAAGTTGTTCATATATCTCATGAATTTATATATTATGAATTTATCGTTTGCAGGCTTGCAAACAGTGGATTATGGCTAGGTGCTTTAGTCGGCTTGAGTGCAGCAGTTACGATATTGAAGGAAGAGAGCAGCTATTCTGAGACATGTCTTTTTGTAGGAACTACAGGTTTCGGTCTTGTCTTCTGTTCTTTATGCCTTTACATACGACTTTCAATGAATCAGGTTATAGCGAAAGACTTTCATGCCATATATTTTTTGCCTGCGATTATAACATCTATGCTGTTTTTACTTGCTGCTAACAAAGGTATATCAATCTGCAAATTATTTCTTTGGCTAGAGAAAATTATGATTATTGTTATAAACAAATGACATGTTTATAGAATTGAAACAGTGAAATGTACATATATATATATATATACACATACACAACTCTGGTTATTATTATTTTTATATTGATTAAATAAGAACAGGATTATTGACGAGTGTTGTATGGGGCTTGACTGTTGGAAGTTTGGGCACATGGGGCATTCCACAATTAATGTCAGTTTTTCCATACTGCTTTACTGTGGGAGAAGCAACAGCGGTTATACATAGTTTTATTTTGTTTTTAATGTCGGTTGTTACCAACTTACCCTTGCGGTATCACCTACCTCCAATTCACGACAGTGACATAAGCACAGTTTTATTGCAGGTAATAAAATATAAAAAGGTTTATTATGATATTGATGAGATGTATTACGATGCTTACTTTTTGCATTTTCTTAATATATTATACATTACAGGTTGTGATATTATATGTAGTATCGGTATGTTTTCTGTGTGGATACTTTCCTATTCTACATAGCACGAGATATTTTTACTTAATGATAATCAGCTTGTTGTGTTTTATAATTCTTCCAATACTTTACATTGTTCTTGATCAAAATCCAGTAACATGGATAATTTCTTTTGCTTTTAATAGTCACAAAAGAGTAAGTAATATAATAATTTATTACAATTTATATTATAAAACATAGATTTGAAGTATTCTTTTATTATCGATTATTTTGCTCTTTATGTATTGTAGATTGCAATATTCATATATTGGGCAATATGTCTTCTGTTAAGTATCTTAGCTATAATTTATCAGATATTATTAAACTCTCAAGCTACAAGTTCAACTAGAAAAAACTTCCATATATTAGCTACATTTGTATATATTCCTGGCATAATTTATGATCCTTCACTATTATATCTTGCCAGTGGCGTGATGTTGGTACTATTTATTGCTCTTGAGGTACTTATAATTATTGCTTATATATTATAGCTATTATATATCGTATAATAATTTATTTCTTCTTTGTTAATGCACATAAGATAATAATTAATGATTTTTAGGTAATCAGATTCTTCAAAATCCCACCATTAGGAGAAATTTTACAGCAAGGCTTTCTTGCATTTGCTGATGGAAAAACCGATTTTTTGCTTTCATTAACGCCTATATATCTATTATGTGGTTTGTCATTTCCCCTTTGGATGCCAACTAATAATTTACCACTACTGATATTACTTAGTGGTGTGCTGACAGTAGGAATTGGTGACGCTGCTGCAAGTTTTGTTGGTAGTAAATGGGGTTTACACAAATGGGTCGATACAAAGAAGACTGTCGAAGGCACCATCGCATGTGTATTTTGCCAAATTTGTGTAATACTTATGCTAACATACTGTGGTAGATTTCTGTTTTTATATTTTTCTAAGTAATTTTTTTATTGTTTAACTTACTTTAATTATGTATATTTTGCCAGGTTTTATGGATAATTATCAATTACTAATGAGAAGCATTTTGGCGATTGTATTAATATCATTGATTGAGGCACGCACAAATCAGGTGGACAATCTGGCTTTGCCATTATTAATGTATGTGTTTTTGATGGTATAAATGTATATCGTTTATTCTATTTCGATAGCATCTCCATAATTTCAATTAATTTTTAAGAAAATTGTAACAATTATAAACATAATCATTTCATTATATAATTATTTCTGATTTTCGCCTTCTATTATCGAAATGAAAATAATTGTTGTAGAATATTTTTTTATGCTATTTTATAGTAAAAATTTATATTTATATTGACATATCCGACTATGTGCATTATTTAAGTTGCGTTATAATGTAAAAAAGAAGCTGTACTCAAAGATTACAAATTGCACAAAGTTAAAATTGATAAAATCTACTTAACTAACGATTTTTACGTAACTCCAACGTACTTATCGATTGTAAAATGTTATTAAGATATTTATTTGAAAAACAACGATACAATTATAAATGTGATTATTTCTATATACGTTGTGTCGTGAAATGGTGATGATGTACAAATATTTATATTTATGAAGGCGAATATATATTTTTTATATATATATATATATATATATATATATATAATAAATGTATGTACATATAAGTATCAAAGTATCTGACACATATCGCTATTAAGAAGCAGTTGCGGAACAATCTGCTCACCACATTATGTGCACTGATTCGCATATTTATTTTCGTTATTAACTTAAATTTTGTAATTTTTGCAAAAATAGATTCTATTTCTTAGCTTGATATTATATACATTGGTGTGTTATATACATTTTGTATAGTTTTTAACGATGTTAGATACTCTGTATATGGCGCGCGTGCGCCAGTACATAGAATACACTTCTCACATATACATACATGTGCACTCGTTTCCCCTTCATATATACATAATTTATATATTTATCCAAAGATTTGAAATGTACAAATAAAAAAATTATATTGATAGCTACAGTTAATGCGAATGCGAAAATCGGAATATCTTATGCATTTTTAAGCTTTATTAATTTCTATTTATTTAAAATCTATCGATTATGTGCCTGATATATTCCGCTCATTCCCAACAAAGCATTTTTATATGTAAGGCTTGTAAATTTTCTGATAAAAAGAAAACTACTAATATGAATAAAGAGTATTTTTCTATTTTGTGATATTATTTATTTCATATAATTTATATACAGAAGATGAAGCAATAAATCATTAAAAGATTATGATGTAGTTACGAAAAATTCAAATTACCGTTCGCTGAAAATAATATCGTCTTAATTTTTCCGTATCGTTTTGATATCATTTTGACATCAATTTGATTTTTATATGATTTTGTTCTACTTGGGTAGCTTCCTTTGTACAATATTTACCGTAAAATTTTGGTTTTTTACCTAAATTTTCCTTT